ACCTCGTGATCACACAGGCTGGTGTGCTTCTTCCATGTGGGCTCTGTTGCCTCCATGTGGGCTCTGATGGCCGCTTGTTTGTCTCCAAGTCTTTAAGACCCTAGACGCCATATTTTTTGATAGCTGGGTACATCAGCTTTCTTCACCACATTTGCATATGTGCCCGCTTTGTCTTCAACGATCGTGTCAGGAAGGTGAGCATCGTGGAATGCCAGTTTAATAGAACAAAGTATTCTTGCATTGAGGAAGTACTTGAGTAGAGGCCAAATATCCATCTGCTACCATAATACTAAACCTATAAATATATGCTCATAGATCTATTTCCCCATTGTCATATATGTACATATACATAAATGTACGTATACATTTGCATATGTACATGTCTGTATTTAGGCCTCTATAAATGCCTTTTGCCTCCTAGTTCTTTCCTCTATTTCCTTTTACTTTCCTCTTGTCCCACTATCATGCTCAGTCTTCATTTGGGTTTCAGTCATTCCTCTCGGGTACATTGCCATTCATCACGCCTTACCAGGCCTCCTACATCCTCCTCACCACCGATTTTGGATCACTTGCTGTTCCCTTGTCCCTGGGTTTGTTAACACCCACTTCTTTTCTCCCGCCTCCCCCTCTCCCATGCCCCCCCCCAACCATTGGTCCCATTGTTATCTCCTCCAGATTGTTTATCCCATCTATCTTATGTAGATAGACCTGCAGAGATGACATGCACAAAAAACAAGACAGAGCAAACTAAGCAACGAAAGAAAGCAAAATAACAGCAGCAACAAACTAATGACCAAAAAGGAAAAGCCTGTAAATAGTTCAAGTCTGTTTGTTGACCTTTAGGAGTGTTTTCCAGTAGAGACTGATGGGGCGCCATGCCCTGGCCCCAATGTCTATTTTTGGTATCCCCTCAGTACTTTGTTGCTGTGCTCCCTTTGCTGTACTGTTGCACGCCCCCAGTGCTTTGCCTCGGTGTGGTGCGGTCAGATCGGGTGCAATTCCCACACTGTCTCCGGTGTTGTCCCCCATAGGGCTGTGGGTCAGTGAGGGATGTCATGTCTCGTAGTGGGGCTGGCCATATGGTCCTCTATGCATTGACTGCTCTGAGCAGGGATAGCTTCACATTTTTTATGCAGTTTTTTGTGGTAAAATTAGGTGCCTCAGCTGATCTTCCGGTCAACTTATGCTAGAGTGTATATGGTATTTAAATCAATTCTTCTAGACTCCGTTGTTGCTACTGAGAATATATAAAACAGTGAAACACACACCAATTCGGTAGTTTCTACCTGTAAATTCAGTGGTGCGCTTTGGGCTTATGACCGTTCTCACCCTCCTTTCCTGGCTTGGCCTTCCCTGGTTCACAGAAACTCCCTAGCCCTAAACTTCATGTCTTTCCTTGTGGGCGATTTTAAGATGTATTTGGGGGATTTTTGTTTGTTTGTTTGTTTGTTTTTGTTTTTTAAATCATTTTATTGGGGGCTCATACTTGGGGGATATTTTTGGCATAAAGTCTAAAGACAATTTCAGGGTGAAAATTCTGAGATCCAACATCCATGGCTCCAGAAAGCGTGAAGTCCATGAACATTTTACATCTTCCTACACCTATTCTACATCTTCCCCCTTTTGATCAAGAGCTTCCTGTGAATTCTTTGATCAACATGTGAAGTACTGATAGCTGGCCACCATCCAGTTCTGGTTTCCTAGCAAAGGAAGGAATGAGCTGCACTCTCTGTGCCCTCCTCTGGTTCCTGACATTCCTTCCTCCCCTCTTGCTCCAGGTGAGCAACAGGGGATAGATCAGCTGTACCTCGGGGGCTCACTTTAGAGTTTTTCAGACCCCAGACACTATGCAGTGAACATGGGGAGGTAGAATAGAAACACTGAATACATTAAGAGACCAGTGAACTGGGATGGTCCCAGATAACCATGTCCCTAAACTTCCTCACCAGGAAACCATATCCTTGAGGTATTTGGTTGTGTATAAGTAACCTCATGCATGATGTCCTTCTCCGGGGATTGCCCTCCCCTGACCACATGTCCAAAGTACAAACGGTGAAGTCTCGCCATCCTTGCCTCTGAGGGCCACTCTGCTGTCCTTCTAAGACAGGCTGTGTGCTCTCATGGCAGCCCACAGTACTTAGAATATTCTTTGCCAGCACCACAATTCAAACACATCAATTCTTCTTCAGTCTTCCTTATTCCGTGTCCAACTTTCACGTGCATAGGAGGCGACTGAAAACACCATGGCTTGGGCCAGGTGCACCCTTAGTCCTCAAAGTAACATCTTTGCTTTTCAACACTTTAAAAGATGTCTTGTGTAGCAGAGTCCCCCAATGCAGTGCGCTGTTGATCTTGTGACTGCTACTTCCGTGAGAATCAGTTGTGAGTCTAAGTAAGAAGGACATCACGCTTGGTAAAGGAGAGGGACAGTGAAAAGGAGGAAGGTCCCCGAAGAGCTGGATGGACACTGTGGCAGCGACAGTGGGCTCCAACGTAAGAACAAGTGTGAAGGTGGCGCAGGAACGGGTGTTTGTTCTGTTGTGCACAGGGTGGCCTTGAGTCAGAGCTGACTGGGAGGGACTAAACAGCAAGAAGCCCCAGGAGCTACTCTGTGGTGGTTGTTGTTGTCAATGTATCTTATATAAGTTTGACTGATTCAACTTGTTACAGGTGTACAGCTTATCAACAGCCATGACAATAATTGGCAATACTTCAGCCCTTGGTATCAGCTCCTTATTTTTTTCCTCCCTCCCACCTCATGGAGCCATGATAAATTGTAAATTATTACTACTTTCATGGCCTTTTCACTTTTTGGTAAAATCTTAAAGTGAACAAGAGTTTTAAATTGTGATGATGGCTATAGGCGGCCCATTGCTGAAGGCTTGGCCCGGCAGTGTTGCCCCTACTTGTTCTTCTAAGGATTTTGTTTGCATGTTTCAGGTCCTTGATCCATTTCTAACTTGGTTTTGTATACAGTGTGGGCCATGGATCCCGTTTCATTTTTTAAAATGTGGGAGTTGTATTTTCCTGGCCTTGATTATGAAAGAGAGACTCTCCTGACCATCTCGAATGAACTTAACACCCTTATCGAAATCAGATGTGTGGGTTTATTTCTGTGCTCTTAGTTCTGTTTCTGTCGTGTAAGTCTCTGTTATTAAGCGGTTTTGATATGACTGTCGAGAGCCGTGTAGTCTGTTTCCATCAGGATTGTGAGCCCTGCTCTCCTCTTTCATTTCAATATTGTTTTAGCCATTCTGGGCTCTTGTTATTCCAAATAAAATTGAGGATTGACTTTTCTATCTCTATAAGGAGGTGGCTGGAATTTTGATAAGGGTACTGAATTTGTAGTTCACTTTGGGTAGTACTAACATCTTGACAATATCAAGTCTTTCAATCCATGAACATGGAACACGGTTCTGTTTACGTAAGTCATCTTTAACCCCTTCCAGCAGTGTTTTATAGGTTTTATTATATAAATCCTGCATGCCCAACCCCGTTTAGATTTAATCATAGGTCCTTTGTCTCTTAGATGTTCATGGAAATGGAATTGTTTCTCTAATTTCCCTTTCAGATTTCTCATTGCTGGTTTTTGTTTGTTCCTCTGCGCCTTTGTTAAATTCCTTTGTTAAATTCCTCCATTAGCTCTAGAAGTTTTCCTGAGATGAGATCACATTTCAATGCAATACTAAACTTATCTGCAGTAGCAGAAAACTCACTTGCAAAGTAGTTGGATAAAGCTGTTAACCACCAGTTTTAAAGTAGTCATCAGGTTTTTGCATTGTTGTTGTTGTTGTTGTTGCTAGGTGCCACCAGTTAGGTGCCAACCCATAGTGACCCAATGTACAGCGAACAAAACCCTACCTGCCCTGCGCCACACTCATAGTTGTTCTTACATGGGAACCTAGTGTTGCAGCCACTGGTGCATCCATTCAGTGCAGGCCTTCTTCCCTTTTCCCTGTCCCTCGGCTTCTCCCAAGCCTGATGTCTGTCTCCAGGGACTAGTCTCTCCTGACAACCTGTCTGCAGTACGTAGGTATAAAAAACAATAATGGCATTCTTCAGAGCAATGCAAACAGTGCCATACAATTAAACATTTTTGTTACTGTTGTGAGCCAAGAGTTCAAGAATGTACTTTTCCAGACCAAAGCAGGGATTAGTTCAGACACTTCACACAGAATAAGAAACCACTGGGGCTGGTTATGTTTTTGCTATTAAATGAGTGACTAAATTGGCCTTGAGTGCAGCATAGACTCCCACTTCCCTGATACTTGTCAGGCAGTTAACCTGTCAACCATGCCCTGATACCGCCTGGCAAAGCTCCACAGCAGAAGTGTTGAATAAAAGATGTGAAGGCAAGCATTTTCTGTTTGCAGGAAGGAGCAGGTGGCAACCCAGTAAATGGGCAAAGGAACCTGCTTAAAGGTAGAAGGAGGAGAGTTTGAACTGCCTTCACGAGATGCAAGGAGAGAGATGCATTTTCTCTCTCGAATTTCAGAGAAAACAGGTCACATAATATTCTAGGCCAGCTGTAAGACATCATTTGAAAATAAGTTGAAGACTGTTGTTTTAATTAAGGTAAGTATGCCATTGAGTAAAGCATTAGAGGTCATAAAGATTACTAAGGGAAAATTGAGTTTATATTCACCCCTTGGGTTCTATCTAATGTATAAGGTTCAACTGGGATGGTTATATCCAAAAGTCCAAATTTTTCTTGAGCCTGGGGCTTCAGTTTTAGTATATTGTAAAACATACTTATTTTTCATTGCTGTAATGTATTTCACACTTCTCTGACAAGCTCTCCTCACTTTTCCAACTCACCTTTCCATTTGACTATGGAGGGTCGTGGGGAAGAGAAGTTCATGTATGTAGTCTTTGTGCAGAGTCTTCGAGGAAAAGAACACCCTTCATCCTCACCTTACTCTGGAAACAAGCCCTCTGGGCTGCTTCTAAACCTCTGGCAAGTGGAGCAAGCTGCTCACAGGACTGTGCTCTGTTCGCAGGTGGTGCCCATGCTTCCTAGGCTGCTATGTGAAGAGCTGTGTAGCCTCAACCCCATGACCGACAAGCTGACCTTCTCTGTGATCTGGACACTGACTCCGGAGGGCAAGGTAACACCTTCCCACCATTCTGTTCCATAAGGAAGCATACATTGGAATCCCATGAGGAGCCCCTGGTGGCACTGTGGGTTAGCCATTGGGCTACTACCGGTAAAGTAGGCTGTTCAGAACCACCTGCCACTCTGTGGGAGAAATATGAGGCTCTTTGCTCCCCTAGAGGGGCACAGCCAGGCTCGAAAACACAAAGGTGGCCAGTTCTACTCTGTCCTCTGGAGCTGCTGGGAGTCGGAAATTGGCTTGATGGCAGGGGACAAGGTGCCCCTTGATGGTAGAAGGAGGAAGTTAAGGGCCAGTCAACAGAGAGAAGAGTATGGCTCTAAGAACTGCCAGTCTTGCTTAGAAGGCAAGACTTAGCTAAGCAATTAGAAATCAGGTGTTTCTTGTATGTTGTCGTGTGAAGGGAAAATGATCGAGAGTAACATGAGGGAGACCCTGTGGAAGAAGTTGGGCCTAAGTATATGTAACTGTGGGTTGGCAAAGGCAGAAGGGGGACCACTTGAGGAGAGGGTGGCAACCTCAGGTAGATGAGCTAGACTAAAACTATGGAGAATCTCAAATACCAGTCACAAATGGTTTACAAGTGTTCAGGTTCCTCTGAATTGTCATGAGAAAGGCGACATTTTAGAAAGATAAATGCTACCTTTTTGTGCAGTCGAGCCAGAGAGTTTGAAGATGAATTCGCCAGGTTATGTCTTAATCAAAGTGCAGGGTGATTGAAACCATGGACCAGGAACAGAGGGGAGAAGCATGTCAGTGAACGTGTCAGCTTCCTAGACAGAAGGAACAAATAGGGTAAACGACTCTAAGAAAATCGAGCCATCTACCCCAAGACAGAAACAATTCTGTACATTAAAGGCAGGCTTATGATTAAGTCCAGTGTGGTAACTCCTTACTAAGACTGCTTACAAAGACCACGTGAGGACATGGGAAGTGTTTATACTGTACTATTAAATAAAAGTTTCAGAAGATATTTAATTATAAAGAAGTTCCAAATAAAGGTGGAGGATTGAATACCCACATTTACTTTCATTCCCTCCCAAAACCTCACTAAAACAACAGCAAAGAGATTTTTTTAAAGGCATAAACCCACAAGGACAAAGAGAATGGGAGAGGAGACAACAGCAACAAAACTTTGGAAGCAGGGAAGCAGATGGATGAGTGGTAACTGACTGAGCAGCCCTGAGAAAGCTAGATCCTGAGCCAGCAGTGAGGAAAGCCAAGAAACAGCTCAACTCACACAGCAGAACCCTAAGAGAAATCCACAGCTTGACAGCAGCAGGCACCTCTGAAAGGTTAGGGAGGGGCAGATGAAGATGAAGCTAACAAACATATCGAATAAAAGTGTCTTTAACAAGATTGCTTTTGTCCTAACTCAGCAGAAGACCAGAAATTTCCTCTCTGTACACCAAAGTAGTTGGTCAAGTAAGCTTGGGTGGAAGTTTGCAAACTAAATGTGAAGATTCCCAGCTTGCTTTTCTCAATCAGCCCCAGGATTCTGGAGGCCAGACCTATCCTCTTGAGACAGAAGATGGGAAATTTTCTCAGAGGAGTCTGGGTAGTGAAGAATAAAGACTTGAATAACCTCAAGAATTTCCCAACCAGCAGTTCAGATGTAATTCCCCGCAGTGAAACTACGGGAGAAAGAAAATCAACACTTATATACTCAGAGAAATTTTTAAGTGCAGTAGAAGGAAGAGGGAGTGGGAAAGAGTGTGTGTCATCAGTATAGATGCTTTAAAAAAGAAACATTGCGAGAACAAAAAAGAACTCTCAGAAATTAAAACCGTGGTCAAAAGAATGAAGAAAATTTAATATTCTGATTAGAAGATAAAGTTGAAGAATTGTCCCCATAAGAGATAAGGGAATTCCAGGACCAGCCTGCTAGGGGCAGCCCAGAATCGGGGAGCAATGGAAGCAAAAGAACAGACATGATCAACAAAATAATTCAAGAAAATACCCCAGTACTAGAGGATAGGGCTTTCCAGAAAGAGTCCGTTGCCGAGCCCAGGTGTCGAGACGCACCAGCATAAAATTTCAGAACACTGGCGACAAAGGGAGCTGATCCAGCAGCTCCTTAAAAGGAGGGAAAGGGATCGTGTACAACAGACCAAAAGTCAACATAAACTCAGACTCTCTATAGCAAGCCTGGAAGCCAGATACCATGAAGCAAAGCTTTCTAATTTCTTACAGACACTGATTTCTTGCTACAATTCCATACCCAGCTAAGCTATCCATCAGTACATGAGGGTGGAAAAGGACATCTTCAGATGGATGTGCAAGGTCCAAAAAAAATTACCTCTATACACCTTTCCTCAGGAAGCTACCAAAGTGAGGGAGAGAGAAAGTCAAGGAAGAGGGAGAGCATCCAGAAAACAAAGGAGCTGGCACCGGAGAGACGGGGAGCTTGCCATCTGCATCAGCAATGACTACAAGGGCAGGTCGTGAATGCTCCCACCTCCTCAGGCCTGTTGCAACTTCCCCGCTCTGCCTAGGCGTGTACAAAAGCAGCCACAAACAACTTGTCACACCTATTGTATTTGGTCTCCACCCTTCTAAAATAACTGATAACAAGTTCTTAGGAACAAAAAGGCAAACGCTATCTGATGTTTTTTTTTCCCCTTCAAGGAACTTTAGAGAGAGTTTGCCAGCACTCCTGTTCTGGGCTAGTGAGAGCAGGCATGGGGGAACAAATGAATGGAGACAAGATGCCAACAGTGGTTGTAGTTGGGTAGTGAGACTGTGAGTAATTTCTTCTCCATTTTTTTTGTATTTTCTAACCTCTTTTAAAATACTTATTACTTTTATATTTTTACACATGCTTATTTTTGTAAGTGTTCAACTAAGATGATGCCCACAGAAGAAAACTATCTGAGTCAACAGAAAAGAATTTTGAATCTAAATGATTCCTGCCAGGGTCAGACCCAAGCAATAAAGAGAGGCCTGGTCTAATGAGCTCCTAAAATATAAGGGTCACCAAAGAAGCATTGGGAAGGAGCAGACTCTGAAAACAGAGCTGGCCTTTAGGGTTTCTATTGGAGCAGGTCTGGTGACCAAGCCTCCTGGCAGGAGGAGCCTGGAGAACAGGTGTGAGGTAGGCACAGGGTCCAGGAAAGGATGTTAGGCTTCCAATACAAACCAAGCCAAGTGGGAAGTCCAAGAACTTCAATGAGAGACAGAGTCAGGCCAGACCCATTAACTATGCTCCTCGTTCTGTGACTGTCCAAGCACCAGGTCTCTACCCAGACTCAGAGACCAGCTGGGAGGTAGACCTGGTTAGTTTGTCCTGGGACATGGTGACATCTTACCCATAGTCAGGATGCATGAAGAGAGAGGTCAACATCCAGACGTGTAAGAGATGAGGCTTGTTCAAGACCTGAAAGCCTGGCTTAAGTGTGGTGAGGCAGGGCGTTTGGGGACAGAGTGTGAAGTCAGGTCAGGGAGGCAGCCAGAAAAGCAGGAGGGAAGGGTAGTAAGAGTCTGAACTGATGAACCAGGAGGATCTAAAGTCTGTGTAGCCAAAGCTTCAGCTGTTTGCTTGGGCCAAAAACTATGAGGTCTTCTTCTCACACCACTCATCCAGCACCCCACCCCACCCCACCCCACCCCATTCATCACCATCTTCTCGCTGCCTTCCCAGGGCATCCAGAATAGGCCCCCTTGTCCTCACTGCCCAGGCCCAAGCCACCACTGTCTCTCACCTGGCCTGACACTAGGTCCCCTCACTGTTCTTCCTGCCTCTACCCTGCCCTGCTTCATCTTGGCTCTCCCCAACAGTCAGAGGAGGGAGCCTTCTAGATCATAAGAGATATTATCCCTCTGCTTCTCCAACTCCAGTCTCATTCAGAAATAAAATCAAAAAGGCCTTTAAAATGGAAATTTCTTTCTGTTCTCCTCCCGCCACCCCACCCCCCTGCCCCCCATCTTCTCTGCTGAAAACGTATCCTTCTTGTCGGCCCTGGACTCCCTCCTCATCTCCGGGAGCATCTTTCTCCTTACATGTGTCCCTGAGCTCTCTGCTCATTGTCTGCTGTGCTGTGACGTCCTCTCCCAGCCCCCCTAAAGGCCACCTGACCTCATGAGCTTCTAGAGAGGCCCGATTCCTTGGGCCTCTGCCACCCACCATCAAGTTTCTGCCCATTGCTTGTCACGCTGTGAGAGTGTCCTGTCCCTCTCTGTCCAGCAGAGTCCATTCTGAGAATTGAGCATTAGAAAATAAGGATTGCACACAGGAGTCCAGGCTGTCTTGCTCCTCTACCCTTCTGCACCTCTCCTAGCCTGGCACCCCAGCCGCCCCGCGGGGGACGTGAACAGCCAGCTGGTTTGGTTTTGTTTTTTGTCTTAATAGTGGTGCTTCTTGGAATAATCTGGAAGGTGTCGTCTCAGGATTTTTTTTTTTTTAAGAAAAATCCAGTCTGCCATTATTACAGACTCTCGACTCAGAGTCAGGCTGTGTGCGCTGGATACGATGGGAATCGTTGCAACTGTCTCAGGCTGTCCCTTGCTGCTGCCATTTGAAGGGCATCGGTCCTTTAGAGGGAGGCAAGCAGAGAGCCCTCCAGGGTAGAAACCGTGCCACTTGGAAGCCTGGCAGGGAGCGCTGAAGACCCTCCAGAGGGCCCCTTTCAGGCAGCTTGGTGAGAAGGAAGCAAGGCTGTGTCCCCAAGCCCATGACAGGGCCATGCTACCTGCGTCTCCCTCCGCACTGAGCGCCTCGGCTGTTCCTGCCACCCAGGCCTGCGCTCAACTTTCCTCTTCCCCTCAATGGCAGGCTGGGGGTGGCATCGCCCACTGCCTGCCCTTCCTTCCCGCTGCCCGTCCCACTGCCCCTCCCTCCTGCATGTGCCACCCCCCCCTGGTCCTTGGTTCTCTGACATCGTCCCTCTGCTTCTGCACTGGCTTTCCCTCACCTACAGACACACCCCAGTCCTCCCTGCTGCAACCTCAGCTGCCCCCGCCTCGCCGTCCTTGGCACATGGCGGAGTGCGCAGACAGCAGCACTGTTTGACGTGCGAGTGGGGCGCCCACAGCTGATGGAAGCTTTGGTTGCACAGAAAGGCCCAGTGTGAGCCCCACCAAGCTGTTCACAGAACATGGACTGGGAAAAGCAGCCTTCCGTATTCCCAAGCCCCATGTTTTCCCACAGAAAGGTCCTTCCTGCAGCTCCTCAGTCACACCTGCTGAGAGCCGAGGGCACTGTCTTTCCCATCCTCTCGGACATCCACTAGTAGTTGACCTGCACTCCTGGTCAAGATTGAGTTCAAACTCGGGCCAGCCTGCCTGGGTTCACTGCCTGGCTGTGTGCCCCTGTCTTGCTCTGTCTTTGGGGAGTTACTCGACCTCCCTCTGCACCCAGGTTTCCTCCTGAGAAGGAGGTACGAAAATCACCTCAAGGGGTTGTTGTGAGAACAAAGCTTGGAGGTCGGAAAGTGGTCATCGTGGCTTGTGGGAAGTGCCAGGCGCTGGCCTTGCATCTTTCAAATGCTTCTCTTCTTGCTCCTTCTTAAGAAGCGACAGTGAAGACCAGGGCTTTGCTCTCTCACTCAGCCTGTCATCCCTGAACTGCAGTGGCCAGTGGTGCCGCTTGTACCGTCAGCCCAGGGTGCTCCCTGGCCCCAGCCCACGGCTCCGCCACTCTGCTCATGTCCCGTATGGCCTTCTTCCCAACACCTCCTGTGCAGGATGTCCCCACACCTTTCAGTGTCTGTTTTCTTATGTCATTGATACACCCAAAAAGATAGTGTTTTACAGCCTACTTTGGCAAGTCAAACCTGGGGTCTTAAAAGCTTACAGGCGGCCATTGAAGAGAACAACTGTTGGCCTCTTCTAATAAGGAAGAACAAGATATGAAGAAACACTAAGACTCGAGGGACCAGTTCATCCAGAGGAGGAGCAGACCACTTGGAATACTGCCACCACTAACCTGAGACCAGAACGTGAGGGTGCCCGGCGCCCACAGCTGACTCCACTGGTCAGGAGCATGGTCACAGGTCCTGGACAGAGTAGGAGCAAAATAAAGGAAGGAAACTCAAGATAATTAAAAAAAAAAACAAAAAAACAACCCCAGACTTACTGGTCTGACAAAGACGGCTGGATCTTCTGAGACTCTGGCCCTTAGACAATTTAAACCTAGACCAGAACACTTCCTCACCCCACCCCGTCACCTTTCAGCCAAAGAGGCGGCTCATCAAGTGAACAGCAGTGGCTGGGAAGAGCGTTCTCCCCACAGCAAACACAACATTTGCTCAAACCCGAGCTCAGACGGGGAAGGGGGAAGAAAGAAGGGCAATGAAAACCTGGGGAGGGGGCTGTGATATGGGGGGGTGGGAGTGTGCCAAAACAACAGGTTTGTAAAATGGATTGGCCTTGGGGCCAAATCACAATAAAATGATTGCACGGGCACACAGGTAACAAATGCTCATCACATAAATGGCTGGTTGGGGCTCCTAGAACCCACTGGTTTTCATGGGGCCTAAGGTCACTCCCCCCGCCCCCCTCCCAAGGTGTCATTTGACAGTGTCTCTCGTCTCTAAGGAAGAGGGCTCTTAAACTCCCAGCAATGCACAGTCAGCCTAAGATGCCAGTAGACCTGAGGCTTGAGAAGCCCTTTGGGGGCTTGTATGCATATCCCCCCACTGTAGAACAAGCTAGAGTTGATTTTCTCTTTAAGCCCCACACCTCCACCTACCACCTGCTGCCTGTGACCGCCCACATCAGATTTATTGCCATCCCCACAGCTTTGGCATTGATCTCTCTCTCCGCTAGTTTTGCACACATGCACACCCTCCCGAAACTAAGGAGAAGTCCCCACAGGCTGCTGCATACCAGGCCTGACTTGTGCTGGCCTTAGCTATGCCAAGAGTACTGAAGTACCCTCTGGGGTTCTCCACTGTCCAGACATTGAGTCCCATTCCTTCTCCCCACGCCCGGTATCTCAGGGACCTCCATCCACCAAGGCTCACAATGTTACCTTGCTAAAAACACCCTCAGGCTCCCAGTGCAGGCCGCCCGCACTCTTCAGGGGCCAGCCTTAATGCCACATGTTACACAACGCCTCCCTTCCCCTCGAGTTGTTGGGAATACACGCGGCCAAACATACACTGATGCAACCATGTCTACGCGTGTGATTCCCTACTGTCAACTGCGTTCTTCAGAGTGTAGAGCCGTTCTCACCCCTGCCCTTTCTGAACCCATCCTCCATGGCTACCAGCCGCTCACCGGCCCCTCAGCTGCCGGATCTAAGCTCTCAGGATGCTGTTGTCCATTGGACCCACGAGAGATTGTGCTCTTAGAAGAGTATAGCGCTCGAGGCAGATATGCTTTACTACTTGGTTCCCAGGGGTGTTTGGGGCTGAAGTTCAAAGATTATCTCAGGCAGTAGTTTCCAGGCTTCATCCACCCTCCATGGCTTCAGAGATTTGGGGGTCCATGATAATTTGAGATTCTGTTTTGCATTTTCTTTCTTTTGGTCAGAATTCTTCTATGGAATCTTTGATCAAAATGTTAGTCGTGGAAGACGGGCACCCTCTGGTTCTTCTGGCCTCCTGGCAAGGGTGGCAGTTGTACGTGGAGGTAATTAGCAGTGTCTCCCACAGCCTCCTCCAATGCCTGCCTCTCCTGCTTCCTCGGGGCTCTGGAGACCCATGTGTTGTACCTCAGGTGGGCGCTTGCAGACCTTTAAGACCTCAGACACTGCTCAAGGCACTGGAGGTAGGCACGGAGCACGATGTCGACCAGTTACCTGGGAGGTGCCATCATGACCGCAAACTTCCAAGCCAAATAACTAAGTCCCATGAAGACTTTGATTCTACAGAGCAGCTGCAACAGTTACTCTGTGGTTGTTCTCTCTCTCTCTCTTATACATGTGTGTGTATGTATATAGATGAGAAAGTTATGACAGATTAGATATATACTGTATACATAAAACCTGTCACAGAAGTATGCCAATTTGTCTTTTTACACGTGGGTGAATTAGCTCAGTACATGACGCAGAACTGTGTGTGGATGAAAGGTCCGAGGAACGGAGGACCAGGGATGCCGCCTCCTGACCTCCTCTCGGTCCATCTGTCCTTGCAGATACTGGACGAATGGTTTGGCCGGACTGTCATCTGCTCCTGCACGAAACTGAGCTACGAGCATGCGCAGAGCATGATCGAAAGCCCCACCCAGCCTGTCCCCAAGGAGATGCTGCCCCCCATCTCCCAAGAGCATACCAGCCAGGAAGTGCACCAGGCTGTCTTGAATCTCCACAGCATCGCAAAGGAGCTACGCAGACAGCGCTTTGTGGGCGGTGCGCTGCGCCTGGACCAGGTCAGTCACTGCCTTTCTCGGTGCAGCTAACAGTGTGGCATGGGCCTGGCCCCTGTGTGGTGACACATAGCCCATCCTTCCTCTGCTTTTCCCTGTCGCTGCACTGAAATGGGGTTCTCCAAGGCTGCCAGGTACAAACCCCCACCCACTTTCCAACGCCACAGCACCCTGGGCCTACAGTGAGCCAAGGCCAACAAAAGGAATGTCTGGGAGACTCTGGAGCCAAAATGCCATTGACCCTTCCCTGGTGAGGTGGCTCCTGGAATGGGTTTCCCCTCGGGTTGTACCTCAGGGCCCTGCGGATGCAGGTGGAACCAGGAAGTTAAGAAAGCAGCTTGGTCCTGAGGCTTTAAAAACAAAAGAAGCACTTCTTCTTTCCTATCGCTTGTCTCCAAACAGAATCATTTGTTTTCAGATTTCAGATGAGTACAGGCAAAACATCCTGGGTTCACTTCCAGACCGCTGCAATTAAGCAAGTTACGTGAATCTGTTTGTTTCCTGGGACAAGGAAATGATGATGACACTATACTGTCATCTATTAAGTGTGCAAACAAAATTTTTTGAATGTTTCGAGAATAACCAAAATGTGATGCAGAGCAAGGGCAGAGCACACGCCGTTGGCAACATGGTGCCCACATGGACGTGCTCAGCACAGGGTTGGCACAAGCCGTCAATTTTTCCAGGAGGAAGAGGCCTCTTTCTGTGAAGCACAATAAAGTGAGGTCCAAGCGGGCTTCCAAAAGTTCATGGAAAACTGGAATGAAAAGGCAATAGAATTTCTCCGTGACCTTTTGGAAGCCCCTTAGATGCCTTCTTTAGAAGGGGCAGAGGGCTCAGGCAGCTGGAGGACATTGGCTCCTGAAGAAACAGGGTCCTAGGAGGGTAGCTGACAGCCTTGCCAGGCAGCTGTCACGTGACTTCGATCGAAATCCCTTGGCCGAGGTGGTGATTTTAGGATCGATGGATTTTCTCCTCATTGTTTGTCAGTAGAATACAGGCTGGAGCCTGTGCCTGTGTCGTGGGGTGATTGTCTCTTTTATGTCTTACCCAAATCCCAAGAGCCGCCTCAGCTTCCTGGGTTTCACAGATGGGGGGTGGGGTGGGGGCAGGATCCCTGTCTGTGAGGCAGAGGAGGTGGGAAGCAGGACGGCAGGGTGCTTCTCGGACAGTGGGCAAAGCCCAGGCTTCAGGCTCTCTCCCGAACATTTCCCCGCGTGCTCCCTGCAGAGACCAACGTTCACAAATGCTGCACTGCAAGCACACGGCTAGTTTCTTCCCCAGGTTCAGGGTCCTTAGCAGCCCCAGGGCAGGTAGGTGTTCTGAGAAGCCCTGTCCTCATACACCTCCCTCCCTTCCTGCACGTGGTAGAGCTCGTGCTAAGGAGGTCAGCAAGGCCTGGGAGTACCCAGCAGCTCCTCCTACCTTCATGATAATCTGGGTTCGGGGGAAGTACCCCTCCATTCATCCTCACCAGCAGCCTCCTGGTTGTCAGGATGGTGCTCAGCTCACTCGACTTCTCTCCGGCATCTGGCCATTGAAGCTCCCCTCGTGTTGTGTGCCTCTCTCCCTGTCTCTGGCCAGCCCTTTAGGGCCAGTACTCCCCAGGTCTCTGCCACCCTCACCGTGCTGCCCACACCGCCTCCCTGAGCAGATCCTTGTGACCCTAACTACTAACTGGCTGCTGATGGCGCCCAACTCTGTTGTCTCCAGTGTGACCACCCCTTTCTGGCTCATCGAGCCTCCCCCGCCACCTTCTGCATGCTTCTTATGTGGCCCAGGGCCAGGCCAGCCAGGGCTCAGCCTTGTCTTTAAAGCCTGGAAGTGACGACACAGGTGAGTAATTTATGTTCTAGGGATAACACAAAGCTGGTCCCTGTGAAATGGAGGTTCAGTGAGTCTAAACATCTGTCTTTCCCAAATTACAGGCCCTCCATCCTCTCTAACCTCAGCTCTTCTCTGTACACTAAGGTGACCAGACATCCCACTTTTGGGGGGACAGTCCCGATTTTTAACAATTTTTCCCATGTCCTGCGGCGTTTTTTAAAAGTCCCGATTTTTGGAAAGAATGCACGACAAGCTAGGGTATACGGTTTTCGGCTGCCATGTGGCTATTTTGCCACAATATGAGTTTTATCAGTGGTGTCCCTCTTTTGTCCCACTTTACCAATGTTAAAATCCGGTCACCTTACCGTACACTCCTGCCCATCTTTGGGTTCCATGATTCACTGTAATGTCTCACAGGACGCTTGCATCGTACTGACAATTAAGTACTTTATTGGAAGAGTAACCGGGTACAATTCAGGACAAAGAGAGACTCAGAAGTAGCAGGAACAGCGCAGGAGTAATTCTTGATCAGAACACCAGCTTCTCTCCCTCTGTCCCCGGGCCCTGCTGGGTCCTTCTCAGGCAAATGTTACAGCTCCGGGGGTCAGCAAGCACCTGGCAGCTACCTGGAACTGGTCATGTTCCTGCCAGCTTGCACCATCACCTTGTCACTCTTGCCACCTCCCCTGTAACTGCGCTCTCTCTGGCCCTGGGTCTAGTTGGCTCTCAGCACTGGTGCCCCAGGTCACAAAGCACTCTGAGCTCCCAGCTCTTCTTTCTCGATGGAAGTGAGATACCCCCTCTCCATGTGTGGGATTGGCTCCCTTTAAACCTAGCTCTATAGCAAAATTGGCCAGTCCGCACATTAGGATTCTGTAGGACCTATTTGCATGGCCCCACTGAATCAGCGTGAGGAATTCAGGCCAGGAAGGGATTGAGGGCCATATTAAGAGTTCGCTGCCCTGCTTTTTGACATGCCACTTTGCCCTGAGAGTGCCAGGGGGCTTCAAAGGTTCATAGACATTTTTTTAAATCTTTTAATTTCATTTGTCTATGAATTTTTGGAAGCCTTCTCATACTTATGCCCAGAGCCAATCACACTTATCCCCCAGCCTGCCTGTACCAGCTGCGTTGCAATACCATTTTAGTTGATATTAGGTGGACTAATGAAACCAGAGCTTAAAAAGGAAAGCTGTCATTTTCTGTGAAAACAAAGCTAAAAATCTGCTGTGTCAAAGTGTGGTGAAGAAACCAGCTGGTGTCTGGCTATCAGAAAGTATAGCATCTGGGGTCTAAAGGGCTTGTTTTCAGACAGGAAGCCATCTAAATGAGGTGTCAACTGAGTCCACATGGAAGAAGCACCTCACCAGCCTGTGTGACCCGAATCTGAAGGAAGGAATGGGATCGGAGCTCCACCTGTGAACATCTGGGTTGCGGAAGGCTGTGGGTGACATGAATTAAGTCTCCAGGAATCCCCTCTGGCCTTAGCTGAGGAATGTGGACAGCCTCGCTGTCCTACGGAGAGCATGGTCCCGTCAATGACAGCAGGTGGAGTTAGTTTAAAGTGTGAAACCTCCCATTTGATCTCCCTTTGGACCCACTTTAGGGTTGTTTCGCTTTCTCTTTGAGTGAGGTTTTCCTGTGGTTAGCCTCGTCGTCGTCGTTGTTGGGTGTTTTGGTTCGTTTGCATTGTATGGTTTTGCATGATGGTGTTGGTTTGGCATGATTTTCTGTATATTAAATCCAAGACAGACTGATCTACAGAGACAGTAACTGACTCGTAATTGCCGAGGGGCCGGCAGGGGAGGGTACAGGGAATGGGGAGCTAGCAGCAATGAGCATGAGAAGAAACAGTTCTCAAATGGACTGCACTGATGATTGCGCAGTCCTACTTAATGTGATCGCGTGATTAAATTGTCTGAGATGTGAAGGATATGCCAATAAAACTATTTTAAATATCTGGTGTAGGAAACTAGCCTGTGCAGAGTTTCTGAGGCTGTGGATCTTTATAGAAACAGACAGCCTCATCTTTCTCCCAAGGAGTGGCTGGTGGGCTTGAAACACCAACCTCTCCTGGGCTAGCAGCCCAGTGTTTGCGCCATTGCGCCACCAGAGAGCCCTGCTGTAGGGTCAGGCAGCTGTAGAGAGAAGACCAGGAAGCTCAAGATGAATTCTGTGCTTAGGTTGCTTTACAGATTCTTCTAAAGATGCAAAAACGATGAACTAGACACAATGAAGTATTTAAAGAACACAAACTCTCTGCCATCAAGGCAATTCTGACTCATAGCCACCCTGTCAGACACGGTAGAACTTCCCCAGTGGGTTTCCAAAGCTGTTACTCTTGACTGGACTAGAAAATTCTATCTTTCTCCTTGGAAGTGGCTGGTGATTTCAAACTGCTGACCTTGTGCCAAGCAGCCCAATCCATAACCACTCCTCCACCAGAGCTCCTCGTCAAGAGAGAGGTGTAGAAAATGTCAGGAATGACCTCCAACTGCTGACCGTCTTGCTCTGTCAGCATGTCTTAGAATCAGAACTCTACTCTTGAAAATGATGTTAGGCAGCATTACATCGGCCCTCTCTGTCTTTAATCTAGCAAGCCAAAGTTCCAGAAGTTTCAGTGATCTGCTTACATACAGGAAACCCAGATAGCTCTTTGTAAAAGTACCTCCATTTACCCCATGCTGACTTAAAAGGGCAAAGTTTTCTTGGGGGGCCTGGGGGTGGTCTTTAAAAGTCCTAATTAGGTTCCAGTTAATTAAGGCTTGAGAATAATGAATCTGCCTCCTTGGAGCCGGTTTCATCAGTTCGCACTCTGGAGGGAGGAGGGGAAGCCCGCTGGGGCGATTGTGCAGGAGTCACTGCCCGGCCCCATGTGGAAATCACCACGTTGGTGCTCAGACTTCTGCGCGTACCCTCCCTTCAGGCAAGTTCGTCTGCACTGGGTCTTTCTGGGTTGTGTTCTGATGGGAGTTGCTGTCGGGTGCTCTGTCTGCCCCCAGTGCTCTGTGTCCCTGGCTGTGTGCCGGCGAGTCGCTCTCCCCCACCCCCCCCTACACACACACACAGCAGCCTCATGCAAGCAGCAGGAAACCTGCGCTGCCGCGCTGGCCTCGCCATTGTTGCCTTGTTTGAGCCCATTGTGGCAGCCACTCTGTCACTCTGTCTCCTTGAGG